CATTCTATTACTCCGATGCATCGAAGAAAACATTTTTTTGCATGATGTTTTATTGTGGATAAAACTGATTTCAAGCAACTTAATAAACTAGGTTTTATCGAAAGTGTGTGAACTTCTTTTTCTCATCAAATGACGACATGTGTTTACAAAGATTTCGGATTGTTGAACGAAAACATAGAAGTATAGATAAAAAGATTTGGTCAGATTCGTCCATGGCGAGGGGTGTGTGGCTGCTCAGGTAGGTCCTTCTCTACGAGCTTGCACAAAGTAAACCCCAGATGATGTTCCCAGCACAACACAGTATTATTATTATATCACAATAAAAATAGGAACTCATTTTTTCACAATATGAATAATAGTTTTACTCTTCTTTTTCTTATAATAAGAATGGTGATGTTGTTGCTCATCCCTCTTCTGTAAGATGATGTTGAATGAATTAAATCTTTAATATTAAATTTTTTAATATTAGCTGAATACAGCCAGAAAACCCAGATTTTCGTAAAACTCCCTTTTTGGTAGACTTATAGAACTTTTTCTAAAAACAAATATTGGCACTTAGCATGATTGATTACCTATAGTCCGTCCATTTTCAAGGCTACCAATAGTCACCGGGTGCCAGTCCTGGGTCTCGCAGGAATTCCGATACAACGCCCAAGCCGCGGAAAATCAAGGTCTTGTTTGACTCTCATTTTGAAGAGGATATCTTGGCCTATCATAGCATGACAGAAAATCAGTACAATCCTATTGAAAAATTTTTTCACACTGCCTGATTTTCCAAAGATCTCCTGGAAAACCTGTTTCAGAAAATATGAAAATACAGCTGTTGTACAAACAGCCCCAAAAATCGATGTTGAGGCTATCTAAAAAGCGTGTCTAAAAGATTGAACACGAGCTGGCAAATATTGAACAACTATACCAGTTTGTAGAAAATTGTTTGCTCTACAAGATGTGATAACTTGTCAAGTTCGAAACTATTCTAATTGATCGGTATTAATCAAAGAAAAAACAGAAAAACCGTGACGCTGTGACAAAAAACGGTCAAAAGTGTCACAGTGTTACACACGCTTTTTAGATAGCCTCAACATCGATTTTTGGGGCTGTTTGTACAACAGCTGTATTTTCATAACGAATCACCGTTCAGAGCCGAGACACTTTTCATTTTATAGAGAAATGTTTAATCTACTTAATTATCTAGTTGTAATTTTAGATTATTTTCTAACTTTATTATCATGGTTCTTTAAAAAAGAGCGAAAAAAGGAGAACGTTAGCTGGACAAGTCGTGTATGGCTCTTGGAAAAAATCAAATTTCTCAGCCAATATATGACCAAGTGGTGGGAAGTCTTTTCCCATAAACCTCAAAAGTAATACTATCTAATATATGCTTAGAGTTTTTTTATTCGCAAATTGGCTTTTCCTGTTTTTTTTCGAAACGGTACAATGCCAGTGCAACACAGTCATATATATCTTTTCCATATCTATATGCTGTGACGCACATACTCTTCGACTGATCGGCTTGTCCACGTAACTCGAGACTTCGCTGATCAAGTTTTTGAAAAAATTATTTGAGTAGAACTGAAAGGAACATATCACTAGATGCAGTTTTTGGCGCTGATTACGAATCTCACATTAGTTTTTTTTTAAAGTTAAATTTTGGCACCAAAAATCCAGTTTTACACTATTTGAAAATTGTATTTTTAATTTCCTCATATAGACACTGTTCCTAATAAAAATGGAAGGCCACACTAATCGATAGAGAATTCGATTCTCTACAAGATGGGATGTTTTGTTTGGAGCTTAGACTCAAAACAAGCTTCTTAATAAAGTTTGCAGTTTTGGGATGAAAAACTCATTGGAAAGATTCCTTTTTAGCAATCAATAGCTAGTTTACTCCTCTACAAACTTTGCTCGAGGCATTTTTTATTAGCTCTTCTAAATTCGCAGCAAATTAGCTTTCAATGAGAAGAACTTCGAATTTAGGCCTTTTTTTGTCACAGAGTCACGCGCCGAAAAACGGTTCTAAAAATTCGAGTCTTTAACCACATACCTTCATTTTATACCAAAAGTAGAGTATGGCGAGCTGCGTCGAATGGCGAAGTTTCTAGCTCTTAGACTTTTTGAGGAAAGCTCAAATTACTGTGTCAAAAATGTTACAGCGTCACGCTTGGACAAGCCGTGATTTAAAGGAAAAGAATGAAGGAAGCATGAGCACATAAAACGAGGAAAAAAAAGAAACACCCTCACCCTCACTCTTATTTACATGAAGCCTAATATAACAAAACATGTGAAAAGAGAAAAAGTAGACTTTTCTCCAATGAATACACACACGTATAAATCTATCAAGTTATACGAAAAATTGAATAATTGAATAAGTTGAATGATAACGTCGGAGTAACTACACAGAAATTTGAAAGAGAGAGCTAAGAGATGTCAATAAAATTGCTGTGTACTTATGTTGAGCTCAGACTCTAAGCGAGCTTGAAATGAATTGCATCGTGTTCCTGAAGAGAAAGCTGGGTAAAACAGTAACAAATATTTACATAGTTCCGAAGGTTTCTGGAAACCTTTCTAAAAACCGAAGTATTTCCTGTTGGTTTTTTCAGTACTTATTGGGCTTTACGATTTGCTGCAGATAAAATAGAATATTTATTGACATTCTGAAGTAGGTTCGATGGATTTTGACTGAGTTATGATCTTTTTAAATTTTGTTGAAAACAGTCGATAATGGGTTATTTCACCTAGTATAGGTTTTCACTTGGTTGTTGCATTTTGTTTTGAAAATTAACATTGTCACGAGATTCAGCATAGTCGATAACCTATGTCATTCATTTCTGACAGTCCCAAATCTAATGGCAGAGGAGTGCCAAGGACCACCGCCCCACTCTAGATCCGCCACTGGGCTACAGTGTACATCAAAGAGAAGCAGCTTTGAACTAAAACGTTCATATAAGAGTTTTGCGATCAGTTACTGAAATGATAAAGAAGACAAAAACATGAACACAGCCTTTACTATCTCATGTCACAAATCAATTCTAACGCTGACCTCAATTCAGTCGTTATCCTCTGCAGAAATAATATTAAATATCGCTGGGACACTGCGTGTGTATCAGAGAACGAATCAGGTCCAGTTCGGGCCACGAATAAAAGTCTGATGTAATCCATCATACCGGATCGGGTATTCGACTACGACCTGGTGCCGGGTCGTTTTGATAATAGTCGGGAAAAAGTTTTAACACGAGTAACATTCGCCATCCACATTCATCAAAAAGACAAAAGTCCGTCATTTAACCACGGTTTATTGGTGATTTCTTTTCGCTGCGTCTTACTTTGAGTAATATTTTCTTTTCAAATCTTTCAGGAGTTCTGCATGTGTTTCATATAGGGAAAATTGTCAGATAGCGAAGTCTCATACTAAGCCGTATTTTTTTGCTAGCCATTCAGCCTGAAAGATACTTAAACTTAGTCGAAGTTCGCACTTCTATAAGTCATGGAGAAACTGAAGTTTTTCGATAAATCATGTTATTCCAATATACGTACTGTGACTGCAAATAAAATGGTGACTGAACTGTTAATTTCACTGAATAACACGTGGCGTGTTGAAGAGGGTGTCACAATTCGTTTCATAAAACTTTTTTCCCGTATAATTGTTTTCAGTGTATTTATATAGTAACCAATTTCGAAAATTGTTTTCAACAAGAAAATCATCTCATCTATTGTTGTTTTACCAGTTAAAGTAATATGCCGTTTATAAGTGAGAATATATTTTTCAATTCGGTTAGTTAGATTACAAAATGAACGTAAAATATCTTTTAATCGAAGATAACAGAATACTTCTAAGAATAGTTCGTAACGAATCGTTCATTAAGAACGAGCGGGCGATCGATTGGGACAAACGGATGCAGCTATGACATAGCATAAGAAGCAACTCAAGAACTGTAACTGATAATTTATCATTTCTGCTGGCTACTCCAAAACAGAATGAGTGTAGATATTTCTTGAATACTAGTTTAATAGTGAAAGGCAGATATTTGTGGTTATCGCTGTTCGACAGGCAAGATCCGAACACATCTTTTGGTAGGCAGAACAAATTTCAGGATTCTTACCAAAAGTGGGGTTTTAAGAGGATCTTTATAGTGCAGTTCACTGCTTTTCCAATAATATTGATTGAAAATGAGTTGGGTGAGTCGATAAATAGGGACAGATACCCGCTATGGCAGATGTTCATCCGATATTTTCTAACCAGGCACTTTAGATGTCTCTATCTAACACTTCAAATAGGAATTGGGAAATAGTTTATAAAATGTGCCCAAACGATCAGTTAATAAAACGTTTGATGTTTGTTTGTAAACGGTATTCTCTTTGCAGAATATTAGGAATAGTATAAATTTCAAAGAATTTTCAGCAAGGTTTACATTTTCGCTGTATAAAACGTACCCATTGGAAATTTTAAATACTTTCAAATTAATTCATACTAATTTCAAGATTTAAAGGAATCTGAACGAATTTAAAAGAAAAGGCGTTCAGATTAATTTAAAAAACTTTTTTGCCTTCAAAATTAATGCGCATCAATTTAAATCTTGGAATAAATATAAGAAAAAGTCATAAAATTTAATTTAAATTAATGCAAATCAGTTTAAAAAAGGAAAACAAATGCGTTCACACATCTTGAACAGTTTTAATGCACGTAAAGTCGTTAAAGGACGAGAACGTTAGAAATCGGCCCACTCTCTTTTTCGAGTAAAAATGGCTTAGTATCAACAAAAAACGACGGAATATCCAAAACATTCAAAAGAAGCGTTCGAGTACCAAAAGAAACAGTAGAATATTATTTCAGTCAACATTTTCTGAAAACCGAAACACTATACTCTTCTCTAAGAAGGATGAGAAAAGTAGCGTTTACTCATCGCCTAGGACTGGTTTGGAGGTTGCCGAAGTGAATGGTATTGTAGAGAAATTAACAGGGTTTAAACTTAAGTGTTCGAACGCCTTAAAATCTAATACGAATGTATTATCATAATTCGTGGTTTCCTTTAGCACAATTTAGTGCAATGGGAAAATATGTAGTTGGAGAAGTGCAGCGTATGAAAGATTTGCAGATCGAATCTAGGAGAAGAACTTCAAAAATTGTTCTAATCGAAAAACTCCAATAAACAATATTGCGTTAAAATCTAATGTCTTAAAATGCATTTGGACCCACTAAAATCTCTCAACGCCATAAAAGTCTTTCAATGCCTTAAAGTTTAATATGTTCGTATGAATTAAGAAATTTTAACACGTTAAAGTACATCAAAGGAGTTTTAACGCGTTGAGTTTATCAGGCGTTAAAATCAGAAATTAACCAAACACGTTAAACGCGTTTTTGGTTGATTTAATTTTAACGCAAGAATTTAACATGAGACTAACACGCGTTTCTTCGCTAAGCTAACGAGTCAGTTAGCATGTGAGTTTATTAATATTTCAGAGATGCGCGATTACAATTACAAACTGTACACTTGAAACACAGCTATTATTCCTACAATTCAGAATTCTAAAATTCTGAATTCTAGGAATAACTGCAATGTTTGAACTATACATTTTGTAACTGTAATCGCGCAGCCCTCTAATACTTAATGCTGTTAATTGCGTTAGAAACAGCTAACGCAACTGAAAGAAACTTTTGGTATGAAAAAGTCCATTGGGTCTGACGCAAACGTTTTTGCTCTGATGACAGATATTTTCACTCAAATTTTTTCTGCAAGGTCATTCGTGCTCTTTCTTCCAGTCGCCTTCTGTCCTCTTGGTTTTCGCTGCTCAAAGGGATTTCTAGATGGGTAACAACCGAAGTATCGTCGCTTCTCGTGCCACTCATTTTCGTGACAAGATAAAATCAACACCGGTGATGCCTGTGAAAATTCAGATTGAAAATATAATGAGAAAAGCTGAACGCCGAATGACTGTTACCCAACATGGAAAGGTCGCAAAAATTGTTGAACCGAAAAGAAAGGCAAAGATCACCTGTTTGGAATCACGTAATACTTTTGATGTGATTTTTGCTTTCGTTCTATTATGTCTATCTCTGGTTTACTTTATCTGAGATGAATAACGAACAACTACCAATGATTGTTGATCGAATGCAGATAACAGATGGTCAGATCAGTGACAGAGAAGAAAACGACACTATTAATATCTCATATTTGTCAAGGTTGAAAAGATGCTTGTTAGTCTTCCAGCGATTTTGCAGGTAACACGGGCGAAGAAAGTTACTGGTATAACGAAGAAAACATGGCAGCTGACGTGGGAGATAACGAGCAAGAAATATCTATTGATAATGAAACAGACGACGCCCCGGTATTCTCAATATTTGATATAGCTAATATTTTGGCAATATTTAAATTAAAAGAAAATGTATCACGTTCTGGCATGGATAGTTTACTGGCATTGCTACGTGTTTTACGTGTGACAAATGTCCCGAAAAAATACATGACACCTAAAAGATTGTAGGTGAATCAACATCTTTTATCAGAACGAACATATTGTTCGGTCTATCCGACATGCAGAAAATTATCGCGTGGACAGGCTTGGGCGGATAAAAAATGTGATGGTGCGAGTAAGATGTTATTGTGGCTGACGTCAAATTCATCGAACACAATATTAAACTTCAAATTCAACAGATACTTGAACGAGAAACATTATTGAGTCTTCGTACGTCGTCTACTACATTGATCATTATTCATGATGGACAAAAATATCGACAACTACTTGAAAATGAAATGGGTCAATTTATTACACTCACACTGAATTCAGACGGTATTGAAAAACAAAGTGTGAAAAATAACTCAGTGTGGCTATTAACATTTGTGATAAACGAAATTGGTCGTTCAAAACGTTTTCATCTTTCCAATTCTATTATCGGTGGTATTTGGCCGACTAGTACAAAACCGTCAAAGCACAAATGCAGGAATAACGAGACTGATTGTTGATCAGTTATTGAAATTGCAGAAAGAACAAATTTGCACCAGATGTGTCGAGAATATACTAGAAGAAATTTGTTTAAAAACATTTCTATTATGTAGATCTGCCGATAAACCTGCTGTGACACGTATTCTAAACACCACGAAGTAAGTAATTCATTACAGAATTATCGCTCTGGCAAAGGGCTTGAAATAATTCGATCGACGTAAAACATTGATGGTCAAACATGTTGACTTCTTTTTGCTCAGTGAATCGTAGATTAATCGTGATGGTTTTGATAAATCTATCAGTTTGGATATATTGACTTCTATTAATGAGAAAATTTTGTTACAATTATGTAGCGAAAATCTAACAACCGGAACGATACGAGCAGTTTAAATGAGTCTGAGTAATAAAATCGCTACTTCCATGGACGATTTAAATCACTTAGATAAACACTTAAGACACACAGCAAATACGCGTCAAACATCGTACAATCCATCAAATTTATCTGAGCAAACACTGAATGCATATAATATTCTTCGGAAAAGTCGAGAGTAATATTTATTCATCTAGATGCATCTGAATCTTTTTTTCTTTGATGGATAAAGAATTTTTGTTCAATTTTGTCAATTTAAATTTTTTTCTGTATCTCAATTTATTTTTTTGACTAATTTGTCTGTTTAGCGTTCTTCTTTGCTGATTACGAATATCACCTTTTTAGCATCAAGAAACCCTTTCTTCATTGAAGAAAAATCGGAAACACTGAAAATACCCGAAATACCGAAAATTTTGGCACTTTTCGCGTATTTTCAGTGTTTCCAATTTTTCTTCAATGAAGAAAGGGTTTCTTGAGGCTAAAAAGGTGGTATTCGTTGCAATTCAGAATATGTATAATATATCCAAAAATAAATTTCACTTTAAGTTTGCACAATAATCTGAAAATACATTGCATGTTAACTGCCAAAAGATTTCGGTTAAAAAGTACAGGTATGTCTCCATTACTTCATAATTATATTCCTGATGCTGTTGACACGCCTGTTGCAACCATCAACAATTCATGCGATATTCGAATAATAGCTAATTATGTGGGCTAACTAATGACTTATTTTAATATTTAACTGCTGAACAAGATTTAGTTTTGTTTAGCATGACTTCTAGAAACTATTTTATTTCTTTTAGAGTTGAGGAGTTAAAATAATTGATACGAGAAGATCGAATAGAAAATTCGTGAAAGCGCTTTGCATTTTTTCCAAAAAAAGTTCATTCTTTACTGATAGTCTACGCCACTATGCCTGTTAATATTTCATCAAAACGAATAAGACAAGACTTTGTGCTGTGCAAAATTCTAAATTTAAAATCAAATAAACATTAAAAACTTATTATTTGGTAACTTATAGAACATAAATTACAGAGCCCAGCAGTTTCTTGAATTTTTATTCTACCAGTTTGTGTTTTTTGATTATTACAAATGCGTAATGAAGCTAATGTTGCATTTACTCGTAGTATACTGATTATAGAATCAGCACATTCATGTGTTAATTTATTATT